ACTCTCTCTTTCGCTCACCCTCACGTATATGCTCTATTCCTCTTCCACTAGCTTTGCTTTCATTTAAATTGCCTTTCTATGCGATTTTCAAAAACCTCAGTAAATCCTACAGGCTATATAGGTTATATTTCTTGCAGACAAATAGGCTCATAATATAGGTTAAATTAAATAAATTTGTAGTATGTAACACGAATATCTTAGGAAGAATTTAAAAGACACATACGCACACATTTCGTTGTACGTATACGTAATAAGCATACGACATGTTAGCCAGTGTCAAACAAAGCAATAAGCACAAAAAATATTTAAAAATAATCATAATATTTTGATATCCACATTATGACATGCCAAAAATGCTGCAATCACATTACCTTAATTAAAAAGACAGTCAGCCAGGTAATGAATATATAAATACGCATTTAACACCTGCAATTGACCACAACAAAGGCAGCACAATAAAGACAATGAGCCACGTTATGGCCGCGAGAAGGCTTGGCCAATTTGACTCTGATCTTATATAGATTATATTTGTAAAATCAGTTCGAAAATGTCTGTACGTTAAATTTAGAACTCTTCGGTTCGCAGAACAATCAAAGGCACGACAAATAAAATAAAAAATAATAATAATAAAAAAAAAAAACAGGTTCAGCGCAAATAAGCCAAGAGTTATTTTGTAATTTTCCAATGTGACTAAGCTATATTGCCATATAAATTAAAATATGCACATATGTATAACGTTTTATAAAAACAAAAAAAAACCCTATCACGTGCTCATCGGCGACAATTTTCAACAATAAAAGCAAAACGCGCACATAATAACAAAAACTAAGCCAAATAATAACAACAAAGAAAATAAAATATTCGGTGGAAATGTTGGCAAGTCAATAAACCAGCGTATCGCAGCTAAAAAAAAAAAATAATAACTTAATAAACAATATTTATAAATATTTTAAAAAATTTTGTATATATGTATGCATATTTATGTGTCTGCGCTTCGCTGTCTGCCAATTGACAAGAGCGCACGCCCGCCAAAGTAAACAAAATCGGAGGAGAACACAAACAGAGCTGGCGAAAAGAAAACAAGAGATTAAAAAAAAAACGAGTGAGAGGTTCTAGTCGGGAGCTTCCGACTAGGGGATACCCTGAACCCTCTTCTACCAACATCAAATGCATATATATATTCTATTTTAGAAGCTATATGTCAAGTTTCGTGACTCTAGCTCTTATTATTTACCAAAATTGGGATATCGATATCGATATTTTTATCGATTGCTTGGAAACGGAGTAAGTTATCGATTATCGGAAACGAACTCGATCTGCGCGGGAACTAGGAGCACCTACATCTATTTCTCATTTCAAGTTTCTAGCTCCTATAGGTTCTGAGATCCTTGCGTTCATACATACGGACAGACAGACGGACATGGCTAGATCGACTCGGCTATTGATGCTGTTCAAGAATATATATACTTTACGGGGTCGGAGCTGCTTCCTTCTGCGTGTTACATACATTTGCATTTTGCACAAATACAATATACCCTTATACCCATTTTTAATGGGTTCAGGGTATAAAAATGGCAAGAAAAACGAAAAAAAAAAAACAACAACAACAAAGAGCTACTCGAAGTATTGCCGGCACCTTCAATGCAAACACACCCAGCGCGACTGACCTCCAACTCTGCCCCCCCCCTACCCCCCCCCCCCCCTCTCTCTCTCCACTCTAATCTCTTCAGTGCCGAGTGTCGCATTGAAATGCCTGCAATATTGGCTCGCGCTCTGCGAGAGAGTATTTGTATGGCAAACAGTTAGCAGTCGATCTAGATACATCTTACCTCGTTGACAAGCGGCAAATATTTGACATAGTTGAATGAGCGGCATTTCGAGAGGAGCTGCTGTCAATTTAAAGGGGCGGCATTTTGCATAAGTGCAACAAACTAGATAACAATACAATTGCAAGGCAGGCATTCATTTTCACTTAAAGCGCGATAGCTTAACTTTAGGTTAAACTTCAGGTTAAAATACAACAGCAACGCTCGTAACATGAACGAGTTACTTGCCGCAGCCAACTTAACGTGCTGCCAAATTTAATTAGTGCAATTAACAAATATACTTGCAATGTGTGAAATTAATTCAATTAATATAACACCATATGACTCCCTTATCATAACTTTAGTCAACTACTTAGCGAAACGCTTTCTCAATCCGGAAGCAGCGTGCAAAATTGACCTCTCCCATCAGCCAAAACTCCAAACAGGCAGCCGGAAAGCGGCGGCTGTGACTGACCGGCAATAAACTATTCACAAACTTGTCACGATACCAAAGCGCTGTTCCCTTCTCTGTTTTGATCTCACTGAGAAAGAGTAAACAGAGCGAGAGAGAGAGTTTGAGAGAGCGGGTTTTCTTTGATCACTCACACACACACACACGAGCATACAACTGTTTGTCTAATCCGCTCGTGTGGAACCGCCGCAGCAAATGCAAATGTTGCCTCTGCATACACCTTCATCTGCCTACACACACACACACATACATATGCTCAATCAAACGTAGCGCCAACGTCACTGCTGGCGTCGCTGCCCGCCGCTGCTGCCGATAGCCATACACTGTTTTAGCTTTTGCTATGTCCGGCAATTCGCTTGCTCGTGCTTCGTGCTCAGTTGTGATCGGCAGCAGGCAATAACGGAACTGGATTCATTTGGCAAAGCCAGCGCCTGCCTGAAAGAGATTGAAATTTCGCCGTCCTACGTTGCCTTCATTCTCTCTGTCTCTCTCTCTCGCGCTCGTGCTCTCGCTCTGGCTGCCTTGTTCGGTTCGGGTTCAGGTTCAGCACACACTGCGTATACGTTACTCTGCCCAATACCCCTGCCATATATAAAGTGCAAACAGCCGCGATGTTTGGCATTCATTGTTTGCACAAGGGAAGCTAAAGCTCGCGGATGCCGAGCGCGACACCTGAACTAAAACTAAACCCAAACCCAAAACACACGCCAGGATTAATTCGAAAAACATTTACAATAATATCGAATCACGTTATTTTGTGAATATGTGTGATTTAATAATAAATTAGCATTATTTGCAACTGTCAAAGCTGTGAAGTGTGTCAGCTGTGCGTTTGTGCGCACAATCAAGAAAGAAAATAACACACCAAAAATCAAAGCAACAATAATAAATATAAATACGTTGGCAAATAAACAAATGCCGCAAAAGCAGCAGCAACAACAAAAAGAACAACAACAACAGAAATACCAAAGAAACGCGCGCGCCAAAAAGCAAAAACAGAGCTAGGGATTTTTAACTATATTTTTTAACATTTTCTCACGCCTCACACAAGGAACCTTAAACAAAAACAAAAACAAAAACAACAACAACTATGGAGGTACAAAATATGCACGAGCAGCCTCTGCTGCAGAGCAAACGCCACATCCTTGACTCCAGATGTGCGGTAAGTGTGGCCTACCATATAGAATCATACATATACTATATAGTAGACTGGTTGACTGGTTGATCGACCCCCAAATCCGATTTGTAAACACAGTCAACGATTGTAAACACAGTTCGTTTGCGTGGGCTCCACGAGGCCGGGGCGTGTTGGGGAAAGGGGCGGGAAGCGGCAGCCCTATAAATATAGCGTGTGCCAAGAATAGCTGCGATCGCGCCAAAGCGAAGAATTATGCCAAAGTAAACATTTAGTCTAATACGCAAGTGCATAAATCCGGAGAGAGAGAGGCAGAGAGAGAGGGGGGGGGGGGGGGGCTGGTGCTTTACGCACTCAAAATGCAATTACATTAAATTTAACGCAAAATATGCAAAGTATTCGATGTATTAACGCGGCTCATAAAGCAACAATCTTGTGATTCCAATACTACACTAGACTGCAAGATAGGGGAACGGATTTTATGCTTCTTGAAAGAAATTTCTCTAAAATGTTTGGCTTGTTTTCTCTATAAGAAAATAAAAAAAGGTTTAACTTTAGTCTCAGCTATTAGTTACAAAATGAAAACTGAAACTATTTCATTTTTGTTGGAAGTGAAAAATATTGCTCAAGTAAATACCCAACATTTCTAGCAAATAAACAAATGCAATGTTATTAAGTTCCTTTGTAGGGAAATAAGTACACAAGTAAATTTCCCTTTTCATGGTTGTTCAAAGAAAAAAAAAATCCCTTTATTGTCAAGTTGGGCAATATTCAGTCCTATGGCGTAAGCTAAGCCCAGCTTGAGCTAAGATTTCCCACTTATTGCGAATGCTGGGAAATTGGATTCAAAATATTCCATTAATTCTTCAAATCTTAAGTACATTTGAATTGAAAATTAAAGAAAAAAAGTTAGTTCATTAAATTTGCAATATGGTAATTACGCTAATACTATAGTTTTGTGGCTTATATAATTATTATTTTCCCTTTCAACAAATATATAAAAAAAAGTATAGTATAGAATAATTGCACTGTGTCTAATGTTTGTTCTATTATTATTTAAATGGATAATGATAATATGTTTGTTTTATTGGAAATCATTAACACACATATTATTAGATCAAATCGGGTTTCTGCCAATAACAGCTATATAGTAAAATATATAGTATCCAGTGCTAAATATAGTTTTAGCTATTTTCTTATAGTTTCGCATATTTCTGTTATATATTGAAAACTTTGCTCAGCCGTTTTCGCATGTTGAAATATTAATTGTTTAACCATAATTTATGCGATGTGTCAAAAATGTACATGAAAAACAAATTCAAATATTACCCGCCCGGCTGGCCATGGAAATGCCTGTGGAAATGGCTGTGTGGAAATGCAAGTGAAAAGTCGGCGTCGTCGTCGTCGTCGTCGTCGTCTCATGGCGCACATGTGCTTCAAATTAAAATGTCTGGCTTTCATCTAAGAGCAATAAATAACCATAATAAATCGAAACACACATAGAAATACATGCCTATATATACATATATATATATATATATATATATGTATATGTGCCCATTTTTAATGCTTTTGTTTCGTCTTGCAGCTAAACGATTTGTATCCGATCGCCCGTCTGACCCAGAAATTGGACGTGCTCAATATGTCGTCGTCGACGTCGTCTTCCAATTTGGACAAGGAATGCCCCGTTACCATTGAGCTGGTGCGTCCCGAGGATACACCTGAAGTTCTGGCCATGCTCAAGACTTTCTTCTTTAAGGTTGGCTTTGATTTCTAATTGCCTTACCCTTCCCTTTTCCTTTCTTTTATTTAATTTTAATAGATTGCTTGATTATTCAAATTGTTTAATTATAATTGACACAGGTGCTGCTGCAGTCAAAACAAAGCAAACAATTTTAAATAAATGCATCATAAATTTTAATTAGCAAGGGATTGGCTTCAATGAACACACTAAAACCCGATTTTTGCATTAATTAAAGATTTTTGTGAATGTTTTTTGCAGCTTTTTTGTTTCTGTTTTTTCACCTGATTTACAAAAGTGTTTGAACTTTTATCCTTAATACGAGCTGAGTCACAGGGAAATCCCTTGATGAGACACCTGTTATGTTTACCTTTAACTAGAGCAAAAACCAGTTCAAACTCTGAAGATCATCAACTAGTTGACCAGTTCACGCTCGACTCGCTCGCATCAGAACGATCCGTTCGCGTAGAACTTGCGAAACGCGTGACAAACTTCCACTCCAGTTAACGGGCCAAAATCCGTATTGGATTGCAATTAATTGGAAACTTGAAGCGTGACATATAATATAAAAAACAATGCAAATAATGCAGCATTCAAACCCGACTGACTGACTGACTGTGGCTCCGGTTCCGTTTAGCATTGCCATAAATTATGAATAAATGCTGATCGAATAGATAAATAAACGAATGCGTGCGCATAAATCATTTGATTATAATTCGCATGTTGTGCTCGTGTCTCGCGTAATTGCCTAAACAATTTGTACAAATTATACTATTTAAAATTCCATCAAAGATTTCGCATATGCAGCAAGCATATTTTGTTTATATTTTGATCAAAACAAGATTCAATTTCCATTTGCCAAATGTTAATTATTTTTTTTTATTAAATATTGTCACATAAACAGGCCCAGCCAGTTGTTGTGCTGGTTTAATAGAGCCAGTTTTTTTTGTTCCTTTCTTTAATTAACTTTACTTTTTCTTCTTTCTTTTTGCAGGATGAGCCACTGAATACATTTCTTGATCTCGGCGAGTGCAAGGAACTGGAGCAATTCTCAGTGAAGCCCCTCAAGGACAACTGCTCGTACAAGGCGCTCAACAAGAAGGGCGAAATCATAGGCGTCTTTATCAATGAACTCATGCGACGACCTGTAAGTCGGAATACAATCTACGCCCACTTCTGCCTACCTTGACTTTCTTAATCATCATCTATCTATAGTAGCTAATCAATAAAAAGGATTTCCCTACTAATCAAATTCCATTTCTTTTTAGTCAGCAACTGAGCCGGCTGATAAGTTGGCCGATCCCTGCGAACATCCCAAATTCCAAAAGATACTCAGCCTAATGGATCACTTGGAGGAGAAATTCAACATATTTGATTTGTATCCGAATGAGAATTGCATACTCGATGGCAAAATACTTTCCGTGAACAGCAATTATCGCGGCTGCGGCATTGCCGGAAAGCTGACGGAACGTGCCTATGAGTATATGCGGGAGCATCAGATCTCCGTCTACCATGTGCTGTGCTCCAGCCACTATTCGGCGCGCGTTATGGAGAAGCTGGGCTTCCATGAGGTCTTCAAACTGAATTATGCGGACTATAAGCCGCAGGGTGCGGTCGTCTTTAAGCCGGCCTTGCCGCATGTTGCCGCACGCGTCCTGGTCAAGGAGCTGGACCAGGATAAGCCCAAGTCTGTGTTGTAATTGTAATGAGCCAATTATGCATTTCATAGAAAATATGTGATTTTTAGTTTGTAGTTCGGTGGCGGGATTTTTAAGTATATATTATTCAATCGAGAATCGTGCGCTCATTTCATTCTTCTTTTGTGCTTTCAACTTCAAATTAGTAGAAAAATATACAAGTACAAGCTATACAAACATTTACGTAATTAAATGCGCCCAACGCGAGGTTAATTTAAGTGTTCAATTTGCTCAAAGATTGCTTAATTAAAAGAAATAAATAATATAAATAAAAACATAAACTACGTTATGCTTTTTTTTTTTTTTTGAAAGAGCGTACCTATCGATAAAGAAGCGCTACCGAAGATTGAATACGCTTGCAGACCAAATTTTCTTATTTTCTTCTTCTGGGCAAATAAATAATGGATAAGTATGGATAAGTTTTTCATACAACAACCGATGTTAACAAGACTTTGCATAAATGTAAAGAGCTTAGTAAAACTTATAAACGGCGAGTTTTGGTCAAGATATCCTGAAAAACAAACAAGTTTTCCATACAACAACTTAACTTTAGAAAGATCGTTCCTATGGCAGCTATATGATATAGTGTTCCGATCTTAATAGGATTTTGCATATATATAAGGAGTAAGGTAAAACTTATTAATGCCGAGTTTGGTCAAGATATCTTGTAAAACAAACAAGTTTTCCATACAACAACTTAACTTTCGATCGATCGTTCCTATGACAGCTATAGGATATAATGGTCCGATATTGCTAGGATTTTGCATATATATCAAATGCTTAGTTAAAGTAATAAATGCCGCGTTTGGTTAAGATTTCTCGCTAAACAAAAAAGTTTTTCATACAAGAACCTACTTTTCGACCGATCATTCCTAGCTTTACAAGTGAGAGCCCAGTTCGCATAGAAACAGACGGACGGACAGACGGATATGGCTTTATTGGTTCGGAGATGTCTCCACAAATTATCATACCTACCCCCTGCAAGGGTATAAAAAGTAAGAAATGGGCAGATAGCTTTAAATTACACAAATTGTCTTTCAGTTTCTAGGCCTTAAAAGCGAGCTCCAGCTCGCGCTTCTTTCACAGAATAAACAGTTGTCCATTAAGCCCATACATAAAACATATCTATTTGAATACTATGTACAAAAAATTTAGTCTAAACATGATTAAAACGTTGAAATGATTACTTGGCTGCTGCCCTGCCCAATGGATCCCTAGCCAGGCGCTCGACCATGCGCCGCATTTGCTCCTGATTGCCATATTTTTGCGCATCGGCAACAACAGCCGCATGGTGAGAGTTAGCCTCCGCTGAGATTTCATCTTGTACTTGACGGCTCAGCGCAAACGAATGTCTGATAAGTTACAAATATAATATCTAGATATATAAACAACAAGATGCCACTTACTTGACCGAGCTAAAGCCGAAGATTGCGCCAAGAATGCCTAAAGACATTAGAAACAAGGCCACCTGCCAGTTGGAGACACGATTCATGCCCCTGATGCCATAGTACGGGCCAGGATTTGGGTTGTAATTGGGCCTCACATCCCAGGGCTGAATCGTTTCACGTGCGCCGCCCGGATACCAGATCAAGCTGTCGTCGTAATCCTTGCGCGTCGATGTCTTCACCAGGGTCTGATACGCCTCCGTTATTTTGACAAAGCGCGCTGTTTTCTCCACGCTTGCGGCATTGCTCTTAACATCTGGATGGTACTATAGGAAAAATAAACAAAGAGAATTTATTTATATAGTAAGTAAACAGCGACAACCGCTTGCACTTGTTGCACCTGTTTGGAGAGTTTCAGATAGGCGTTGCGTATATCCTGTTTGGTGCAATCGCTTTTAACATTCAGTACTTCGTAGTGGGTCTGCGGCGTTTTTGTCTTCGAATTCGTTTTGTAGGCGAAACTGCGTGTTAAACAAATTTAAGCGTTAATTTATGTAACCAAAACAATGCAACAAGCGTCAAGCGTTACCTACTTACGTCTGCCGGCTGCTCCGTGGGCAGCTATAAAGGCTGGTAGTCGGAGCATGCTTGATTTTCTCCCTCTTTTCCCTTCCGCTGCAGCAGTTTATGTAAATAAACAACAACTAAATAAATTTTATTCCATTTGGTGTTTTCGGAAAACTAAAATAAAAGTGTTGAAAAGCGTACTATATGAATACAGCTGGCGATACAGCTGTAGGCGATAGTATCGCCTCATTTATTTTGCACAACTATCGATAGCCCGTCACAATCGATATTTTAGTCAAAAATCGCTGTCATGACAACCAAAAAATAGCGCTCTTTAAGAATAACAACAATCATAAAATTATAAAATGAGCAGCGAAAAAAAGGCAATGGAATTGCAATTCCAAGTGCGCCAGAACGCACGTGACTATCAGAGCTCGGTCCAGGATCTCTTCTCATGGGAGAAGGAAATCAAAAGCAAAGAACAGGCAATGCAAAATGCGCCCGCACCAACTGTTCAGACAACCGTGAGTAGTTAGAAGAGGGGCTGGTGAGATCGTCACGTTTACAACTACGCGTGTTTTTAGAACGTGCCGGTGCGCAGTCACGTGACAAAGGGAAATGAGACGCGGAAACCAATAGCAAACAGTGCCACAGGTAGCCCCGGTGGCTCAGCAGCAAGCACGCCGACCGAGAAACAAGACTTTCCGACGGACGCATTGGCACAACTGCACAAAAAAGCTAATGATATTAAAGATCGTGGCAACAACTATGTGAAACAGTCCGACTATGAGAGAGCCATCGAAGCGTACACTGAGGCCATAGACGTTTATTCTCAAGATCCCATTTACTTTATCAACAGAGCCTTATGCTATCTGAAGCTAGAACGGTAAGTGGAATATCATATGCATATTAAATAAGCCCTACTGACCTATTCCTTATAGCTATGATAACTGCGTTGAGGATTGCGATGCGGCCATTGGGCTAGACAAGCTATGCGTTAAGGCCTATTATCGACGCATGCAGGCGAATGAATCGATGGGCAATAATATGGAAGCTCTCAAGGATTGCACCACCGTGCTTGCCATAGATCCCAAGAACCTTGAGGCCAAACGGAGTTTGGAACGCATCAACCAACGTTTGCGCAAGATTGGTATTTACCTTAAATAATTTATATTGAACTAAGCTAATTGTGCCCAATTTACAGCTAACAAAAACGGTCCCAACTTTAGTGAAAGTCGCGACGATTTTGTAGATATTTTACCATTCGATAAGCCCGCTTACAAGCGCTCAAAGCAGCCCATGCGTCGTGTGCCTGTGGTGGACATTGTGTCGCCCCGGCCCAACCAGGATGAGCAAAAGCCATTGCGCATATCGGATGAGGAAATTGATAAGATATTCAATAGTAATTGCGGACCTTTTGAGGAAGTGAAAAAGGCAAAAAAAGATAAGAATGTAACTAAGCCAAATTCCTTGAAAGCGAAGGAAAAATTAGATGTAAAAATTCAGGAACCCAAGCAACCAGCTGCTCAGTTAAAAGTCACAGAAAATTGTACAAAGTCCTTAGAAAAAAATGTCGTTATTGAGCCAGTTCAAGCTGTAAAACCAGAAGATACCTCTAATAGTAACAAAATCGTAGAACAAACTGTTGAAACTACCTCACAGCAAACCGAAAAAGCTGAAGACTCCGATAAGACTACCCAAGCTATAGAAAAAATAGTCGAAATTAAAAAATCTAATACAATAATTACTTCAACTGAGCAAGAAACGCAAGTCACAGAATCCGCCGACGGCTCAATGGAGGTACGTGAAATACTATAAGTTTATAATTTCACAATTAATTATCCTTTTTTTAACAGCGCATTCCAGCTGCTCCAGCCGGCACAGCCCAGTTTTATATAACATGGAAGGAACTGTCGCCAAATCAGAAATATCACTATTTGAAATCTATTGAAATACCAAGCCTGTGCAAAATACTTGGCGCCGGCTTTGATTCGGACACATTTACGGATCTATTGCGCACATTGCAGGATTTCTATGTGCCCAACAAGGAGCCAACAACAGCTGCAGTGCTACTCGAGATAAGCAAAAATGATGAATTCAATATCTTAGCCATGCTTATGTCGCAGGAGGAGAAGAAAAGTAGGTGCAGGTGTTTCATTTATAAAATCTTCAATTAATTTTAAATTCCATTTTTGCAGTGATTGCTTTCATAATGGATGGCATTAAGAAGTTTCCCAAAAACAATCCAGCCCTATTGGATAAACTTAGCAAGGCCTATAATTTAGCCTGAAGTTAAAAATTGTTATAAACAATAAACGTACTTGATTTGCTTCAGATTGTTAGCTCAAAAAGAAAAATGTTTTTAAAAATGTTAATTGCAAATAGATGTGAGAAACCTAAAAATTAAAAGTGGTTTGGTTTATGCATACATTTAATTTATCATTAAAGAGTAGGGATTTAGTCACACGTACAGCTCACACAGACGCCGACGCTTCCAAAGCATTGAAACTGAACGCTGTGCGTGCACTAATACTTGCGCAGCACACACACACACACACACACCCAAACAGAGGACTTTAATTCGAAAGCTCAATTCACGTGAATGCTAATAACATAAATCCGAAACATTTCCAGTGCAATGAATAATAAATATCAAGAAAAAAGAACGATTCACATGTAAGAACGAGAACACGAACGTCACCCAGTCAAGCAATGAATATTAAATAGCAAATTGAGTAATATGAATTAGTGTAATTTACATAAATCAACGTATTAATTCAATCAGAGAAAGCTGCTACCCAAAATACATATGTATACATATATGTGTTTGCATGCGTATGTATATATGTATGTATGTATTTTTCTTGTAAACTAACAGCTCCATTAAATGATTTAAAGTTGAAATTATGCGCTGATGGGTTAACTGCAGCATTACAACACCAGCTGAAGGCGAAAAAAACATTGGAGCATCGAGTGCTAATCCGACGAGCGGATCTGGCATCTGAGAACTCTCTGGCCGAGCTGAGCCAGATTTGTGCCAGCGTGAGAGCCGACATAGCCGAACGCTGCTCAGATGTACTAAGCAAATGTACCGGGTTTAGCTTAAGAGCCATTGTTGTTGCATAGGCTAGTTATAATTTAATTTACATTACTTTGTTGCTTCTTATCGTTCGTAAGCTGCGCGCATGTTGTGCGCTTTGCGTCTGTGTGTGTGTGCGCGTACATGTTCGGCTTGACGTAGTTGCCAGATGAGCGCAAAATGTGACGAGCGCACTGGCAACTCCGCGACCGAAGCTAAGCTTCATTAAGCAGCAGCTGGAGAGGCAGCGAACGGAGCGCATGATCGCCCAGTTGCTGTTCACACTCTAACAGATTTAGATATCGCGCTCTGGCCGAATGAGAAAAATAAATTCAAATAAATCCAATAAAAGTTACAGACGAGCAGCACACGCAAATAATAAGCGAGCGCCGTAATAGTTTCTAGTAAAGTATATCGCGTATACGAAGCGTGAAACACAAAAAGCGATCAAATAAACGTAAACAATTACAGTTAAATACTAGCGTCAAACTAACGGAAATTTGTGTAAGTGTGCGTGTGAGCTGCGAATTTAAATGCAGTAATAATATACAAATACAAATACAAATACAAATCCAGCTAATGCAAACAAGTGTAAGCAAAGGAGAGAGAGAAAGCAACAAAAAGGAATACACAAATATAATGCAATGTATAATGGAGAAAGATATCAAAGCTAACTTTGCGACTTGGTGGAAAAAAAACAGGAAAATTGTTGCAAATTAAGAAAAGCCATAAAAAAATATGTGTGCAAGTGGGCAAAGCAAAAGCTGCGTTTGCACATGTGTGCGTGCGTATGTGTGCGTGTGCGTGTGTGTGTGTGTGTGTGTGTATGTGTCTAATGTAAACTTGTTTGTACACAAATTCCAGCCTTAGCGGCAATGAATAACTAAAAACTGTGCAAATTATCAGCGAAAACAATGAAACTCCCACCAAAAAAAAAAAAAATCACAGAAACTCGCGCAGCATCAGCACAAACACAAACAAAAAATAAAACTAAGCACAGAACGCGAGATGCTGTGCGACAGAGATAGACTATGGCATACTAATACCCTAGCCAAAGCCACGTACAACGCTTACCTTTCATTTAAAAATAGTCAACAACAGCAACAACAACAACAACAACACGCAAAACTGAAAGAATGCAAAGTTAATTTGTTGCTGCTGCTAGCTTGAAGCGTCTTTAAAAGTCTCAATTCGCCGTGTAAAGTGCCCGCCCACCTGCCGCACGACTTGCCTAATTTATGCTGCGTCGGAGGGAGGATGAGGGGGGGTGGGGGGGTAGGTCTATCTGCACCCCTACAAACCGGAGTTGACGTCTCCGTCGCCAAGTTCAAGTCGAAGCCGAGTTTGCGGCCAGTTTACTTGACGTGCGCCTCTTCTGCTCTCTATAACTGTTGTTGTTGTTGTTGTTGTTGTTGCTGCTGATGTCGGCTTCTTCTTATACGCGCTTAACGCTTCATCGCTCGTCTCAACCTGTGCCAAGCGCGCAAAAATAAAAAGTAAAACATAACCCAAAATAAGACCAAAAGACAAACAACAACAACAACAACAGCAGCAGCCGCCGTCGCCGTCGCAGCCGCAGAGACGTCAGCACAACAACAAAAACAATAAATATCAGCAAAAGACATAAAATTCAACCGGTTGGTTGGGTTTCCAAGCCGCAGCCGCAGCAGCAGCAGCAGCGCAGCCGCAGCGCAGCAGCAGCAATAATTTGTAAAATGAAATAAAAACAAAAGGCGAAAAAAGCAAAGATATATGCACGTTTATAAATAAAAGCAGCATTGGGGGTAAAAAACCAAGCCTTGTTTAGCATAGTTTTCTAGAGATCCCAATTGGAATTTGTTAACAAAAAGAAGAGAGCGCGCGCATTAAATAATTGCCAAGTGGAATAATACCGGATTTCTGCAAAATACGTGCGCGTACTAATGCCTATTATTTATAATTTCATTATGTTAATTATATTAATGGCACAGTTTGATCAATGTTCAGACAATTACGAAAAAAGCCAGCTTAGAGCGAGCTTCAAAAAGTATGGCAACGCCTGACTCTGATTGGCTTGGCGGGTAAATTGTCCTCTCGGTCTCAGTTGCTAATTTTTTATTTGATTTGTGTGTGGGGCAAGGCGTTGCTCAATTCAGCTTTAAAAATGTTTTCTTCTTCTTATAGTTGAAGCGACAAACTGGCTTTGAATAGCAAAGTTGACAATATGGCAGCTCTAATCTAACGTATGACTAAGCCAGTGGATAAAACAACGGTTAATATCATTTGCATTTACATTTGTTTTATGTGTTATTTCATACACGGTTTTAATAACTATTAATTTTACTTGATAAAAACTGTTTTCCTTGTTTGAGCAAGCGATAAGCACTGAAACACACACTTTTTGAAATCTGAATAGTATGGCAACGCCATAAGTACAGTATGTATTAGGTTAAGGGGAAACCCAATTTAGTACAGAGGCAGTTTATCGAGTTATCGATAAATTGCATGACAGTTTTTAAATCAAGTTGAGAGAAGCAAGTTCAAATTTAAGCAAAATCAAATCTAGAAACAAATCGTTTTGTCAAGTAATCGAATCGAGAGCTTATTGATAAATTGTAGGCCAGACTTTACTTGCGAATGAATAGCTTTCCAATGCTTTCATCTACTTATCAAAACAGTGCTAATTGCAAGTCAGTGCCCTAAACAAATAAATGGATATTTTTAATGCTCCCAAATGCCAAAATGAATCATAATAGTTAAAGAAAGACAATATACATGTCTGCTATATTCAGCCCTGAAATCTATACCAGATGGGATTGGTTTGGTCTGGCAAATCTGTTTTTCGGTGTGGCAAAACGTATTTGAGCAAATCTTTAGAGCCGTGCCGCTAATTCGATTGATTAGTGTAATCTTTCAGACACACGTCCATATAGCTGGCCAGAGCTATTTTCTTTCTAAAGCTTGTCTAGAGTATATTTGCATGCGCACAAATTGAAATCATGCGTTGGGCCACAGTTCTGGCCGGTTCGAGCATAGAGCTCTTATCTTTTTCAGCTAATCCGCATGTAATTGAAATGTTGTTCAAATCACATGCCAGTCATGGCAATTAGCACGACAGCAATGGCAAATATGAGAGTTTTTTTTTTTTGTATATCCATTGAAAGTGGGCAGCTAGGGTATATTGATTAAGTGCCAAACTATGTAACAGGCAGACTTCATAAGATACATATATTTTCTTGGTCAAAATCAGTAGCCGAGTCGATGTAGACAATGTATAAGCTCGACGATGTCAGAGAGCTAGACTTAAAAATTCCTCCTATCTATCTTTTAAGTCATCGATAACTGACCCTGTTTCCACGAAATCGATAAGAATTGTTATCGACACCAAAAAACTGATATCCCATAGTTAAAATATAGTCAACTTTTGGAATATGATTTGAGTTTCATATACTTGAATGTCACATGTATGGCCCGAAAATATGTTAAAGATCGGACCATAAGCACCGAGCTTATTCAATTCTGGTTATGCAGGGTATCTCCGCGTCGTCACTCGCATTGTTTGTTGTGCTCAGATTTATGGCTCAATTTTTGTGGCCAATTCGTGCAGTTTTGACCGGCACGCCAGTTCAATGCAAAAGCTGTTGTTGTTGTTGTGTTTGGTTTTTTATTGAAATGCTAATAAAGCGCCAAAGTTTGAGCGCAACAAAAAATGAAGAAGCGCTTACATTTGCGGCTGTGGCCCTGCAAACAATAGCAACAACAAGCACAGCTTAACTTCCGGCTAAATCAATATAACAACAACAACAACAAATACGTTTCACAAGTAGCGACAGGTTTTCGTTTTTTACTAAGTATATTTATTTTTTTTTTCTTAACTACCGCGCAGCTTCTTCAAAAAAAACCTCTTGTCATTATTGTTATTCTTGTTCTGCCTTGTTTGCTATTTTTTTTTTTAAATATTTTTAACAATTTCGAGTGTTGTTTGTTGCGTCAAACTAAATCAAATCACTTGAGTTATTTTCATATAAATAGCATCTTTTTATTTTCTGTTCTGCTTGGGAACTTTTGCGAATACGTATCCATATCCATTCCCATATCCATATCTATATCTATATCTATATCTATATCTATATCTATAGCTCAGCTCAGCTCAGCTCAGCTCGCCGAAGCCAAAGCGTTAATTTAATCAAAATCATTGCGACAACACGACGTCAATGAATGCGACAACAACAACAACAACAACAACAACAACAACTGGCAAGACGATAGCTGAGGCAAAGTCAGAAGAATGTCTTCTGTATACATTTTGTAGGGTTTTTTTTTACTATTTTTCTTACAAAAGAA